TTGTAAAAATAAAGGATGTATTTGTAAAAATAAAGGATGTATTTGTAAAAATAAAGGATGTATTTGTAAAAATAAAGGGTGTATTTGTGAAAATAAAGGATGTATTTGTAAAAATAAAGAGAACATTTAAAAATTTTAGAGTATTCATGAAAAATTAAAGGGACTGTTTGCCAAAAATTAAATAAGATGTTCGTAAAAAATTAAAGGGGGTGGAAAATAATTTAACGGATTGTTTGTAAAAACAAAAGTTCTGCTGGGATAACAATTTGAAGCGATGGTTTGTCAACAATTAAGAAATTTTTTTCAAAAATTAAACAGACTTTTTATGAAAAATTGTTAAAATTGTTAAAAAAAAAATAAAGGAAATGTTTGTCAAAAATTAAACGTTGTGTTTGTCGAAAATATATTTTTGATATTGATTAGTACTTTTTATATATCAATCCGATGTTTCGGTGATCATGGTGATTTTTAAAAATTGGTCTTGAAAGATTTATTTAATTTCTAACGCAATCTGACCTGTTCAAAAGTGCAAGACACTCCATATCTATCAGAATACAGTGTGCAGGTCCCTAAACACAATTTTGTTAAAGGGACTGTAAGCGTAATTTCAAGTGACCCTCCGTGCAAAGATGGCAATGTCCGATTTACAACGGTACCCTTGAAAAGGATTTGGAAACGTCGTATTTAAGTTTTCTAATAATTTCTCCAGTCTTTCTTTGCAAAATATGCGGCAAGTCAAAATTGAAAATAAGCAGTTAAAAAAAAAACAAAAAAAACATGGATATCTAATTCATACTGAAATTACGCTTACAGTCCTTTTAAACATAAGATAAAAGAAACAAATTGCCAAATAAACTTTTTACTTCGGAATAAACAGTTTTTTCTCTGACGAATATTCAAAAGGGAGGAGGGTTAAATAATTTTGAAGATTTTGGGGTATTATAAAAGAAGGCAAGTCAAAATTGAAAATAAACAGTTAAAAAAAAAACATGGATATCTAATTTATACTGAAATTACGCTTACAGTCCTTTTAAACATAATATTATAAAAAAAACAAATTGCCAAATAAACTTTTTACTTCTGAATTAACAGTTATTTTACTGACGAATATTCAAAAGGGAGGAGGGTTAAATAATTTTGAAGATTTTGGGGTATTATAAAAGAAGGTGGCGAAGCGCCCTGATTTATCCTCTCTACCTTGGACGGATCTGCTTTCTCCGGGTTCTCTAGGATCAGATTCCAGGAATCCTCCTCAGCAGGGCTCAGCAGGCTACCAGAGTTACTTCCTAGATCCAGGAGGGTTTAAAAAAAGTACAGAGATGGTAGGGGTCCTAGGGGGGTTTTAAATCAAGAAAGGGGGAAGGGTGTGTGAGTGTGTAAAAAAAAGAACAGTGAGTGGGGAGGGGGCTGGGGGTCGGATGGGGCGGTGGGAGAGTACATACTGGTAAAAAATCCAGATTGGCTCCACTACCCAGACCCCGCCCCCCCCCCCTAAAAAATTCAGTGCAGGAGTCTTTAATAATTATTATTGCTAAATTTTAACTTTCACAAAACTAATGATTTTCGAGAAAAAATGACTGTTGGGGAAACATATCAAGGGATAATTGACAAATTTGTCAACAGAGTAAGACAAGCATGATTGATTGATTGGCTAATTGATTGATTGATAAGTTTCCTGGTCTCCCTGGATCAAGAAGAAGACGACGTGCTTTCAAATGTTCTCCAGGTTTTCTTCCAGAACCTTCTCTGCCCTCCTTACCCCTTCCCGACCCTCCCTCTTTGCCCCTGCCCGAGCCCGGGGTTCTATCACTGCTGTTCCTCCCGCTTCCAGCACGCTGAAATGGAGCTTCCCGCGCAGAACCCGCTCTCTGCGTCAACCAAATATTTTTTCTTTCAATTTTCATTTTTGTAAAATAGCATCTTGAAGATTTTCAACTCCTAAAATAAGGTTGTCAAAACATACCGAGTTAGTCTTTTCTACGAATTTTAATCTCTTTTCTCTTTTCAGATTATTATGGAAACAAATAGAACTAAATTTATACACAGTAGTGGTTTCTAATGAAATTCAACGACGACTTTCGGTCAATAACACATGAGTGCATATTTTTCCGAATTCCCCCCCCCCCCCTTTGAGTAATTGTAAAATTTATTTTTGATGACTTTTCGATACTTTTCATCCCAAAAATAATTTATTTTCCCATAAAAATCTGTTTTTTTGTCCCCAATTCAGGGAAAAAAAATATTTAACTTTTTTGGGAAAAAATGATTTCTAAAAAGGGGGAGGGGGGGCAATGATATTAAAGGAAAATAAACAGCCCTTAAATAAGATACGATTATCAACAAAATAAATATATAATATGTTGATCTAATGTCGCCTTTTAACTAAACTTTATTCTGGCCACCACTGATTCAAATAAACAAAAGATGAAAAATATGGTTTCCTGTAACTGTAGAACATCCCACGTGGACTCAATGTACAACTGAGATGACAGGTCCTCGAGTAACCTTAAACAATTCATGCTGCAGATATAATTTCTCGAAACAAAATTGTTAGAAACGCAATTACTTGAACCAAACTGAATGACACAAAAATGCCTTTCACCTTTACATTTTTTCAGGAATTTATTTCATGGGTGTATATTTTTCAGCTTTCTGGGAAAGATGAAAAAAATTAAAAGGCAAGTTTCTTTTTGATTCTTTTTATCCATAAATTCATTTATCTAACCCTTAAACCATTTATTTAGCCATAAAACCATTTATTTACCCCTAAAACCATTTATTTACCCCTAAGACCATTTATTTACCCCTAAAACCATTTATTAAGCCCTAAAACCATTTATTTAACCCTAAAACCATTTATTTTCCGCATAAACATATATCACTTGTAGACAAAAAAAAAGGATTTTCAAAAAGGGGGAGGGAAATGATGAAAATATACACACCTGATTTATTTCGACCCCCCCTCTCCCCGCCCCAGATACAGTTGTTTTGCTATATTTGTTTCAATATTTAACAATATCCAGAAATAATTTCTATGGATTTTCTAGAAACTTTGTTTCTAACAATACTATTTCGACAATTATATCTGCAGCAAAATTTTGGAGATAAAATCTACAGCAGCGAATAAAGCCCATTTTGTTACTATGCGATTTATAAGTCTTGAAAAAAATGGAAATTATTTATGTGATCATATGACTTTCTTTCTATAAATTATCAAATGGTATTCAAACTGGGCGCTCATTTAAGATGGATTTGAGGTTAAACTATCTGAACCTTTAAGTCTGCACTTTTCATACGAATAAAGAGGCCGAATTTAAAGAATTTGAGCCGCGGCGGCTTAAATTTGAGACGCAGCTCAAATATGGTTGGTTCCACTTAAAATTGTATTCAATGTTTCAAAATTTAAGCCGGCGCTCAATTGAAACCGGTTTTTGGTGGATTTATGATGCGGCTCAAATTCATTACATTCCGAATACAGATAACGTCAATCTAGAGAAAAGTACAGCGCATCTTATAGAAACATTTAAGTTTTTTTATTTATCAGCTTAAATCAACGAGGGAGGGGTTGCTTGAACACCTTAACCTTAAAAAATGACATCCGAGCCGCAGAATCTGCAACTTATTACCTGGTGTAAAGGAGGGTAGATCTGGTCTCCAATTCAACCTTAACCTCAACCAGAGCCTCAACCTCCTTCAAGGGACCGTTCAGTAAATCTAAATATTATTACTAAAGGGAGTGTTCATGATGACCTCCGTGTATTAAGTTATCCTTAATCACAATGCGTTTCTTAAAGCATCAAAATTAGATCCTGTGATGTTTCTGTCCTGATGTTTAATAGGAAAAAGGTAGAAATATTTTGAAGGAAGATGATCTTTTTTATTTATCTATTCATTCGTTTAATTAAAATGTTTATTATTTTATTCCATTAACAGTTTTTAAATAAAATATGTAAATTCTTCCTGGACTTACCAAGACTTTTTGCTAGCCCCTCTGTAGCTTTTAGAAACTCCTTTTTTGCCATTTGCGAATTTATTTTCTCTGGAAGTTGGCGAATTTCCTCTGTGACAGATTATCAGTTTGCAAAAAAAAACAAGTTAGGAAGGAAATACTTTGTTTTTAAAATATTACAGCAAAAAATGTGTTGAAAAATGACCCACCAAAAAAGAAGGGAATTAAATAATCTTAAGAGTAAAAAAGAAGAGAAAATCTTGATAAAAGTTTCAGTATATGTTATTGGACCAAAAAATATCATCAATAAAAATAAAAATTAGTTCCTGGAGTACATTATATATATATAGTGGAGTAGATCCTGGAGTACATTATATATTCATAATATTAGTGAACTAGTTCCTGGAGTACATTATATATATATAGTGAAGTAGTTCCTGGAGTACATTATATATATATAGTGAAGTAGTTCCTGGAGTACATTATATATATAGTGGAGTAGATCCTGGAGTACATTATATATTCATAATATTAGTGGACTAGTTCCTGGAGTACATTATATAAAATATATAAAGTGGAATAGTTCCTGGAGTACATTATATATTTATAAAAATACAGGGTGAGTAAAAAAACAGTGATTATAGCTATTAGATATTTTGGACAAATTTTTCAAAAAATGTGGAAAAAAATTTAAATACTTTTGGAACCAATTTTTTGTTGAAAAAGTTAAATTTAAAAAAAAAATTTTAAGGAAATTGTTCATTCTGTTATTTTCCAAAACATCAAAATTCATTAAAAATTGAATAAACATTGAAAAAAACGCAAGCCAATTATTTGCAATTTTGAAGTGATAATAGTTCTAAGGTCATAATTTGATAACATTTACTGCAGATTTCCACTCTAAACTTTTGCAGATTCGTTGTTATATCTCATTCTATTTGTAATGAATTTTTATGAAATTTTGAAAAACAATACAGTAAACAATTTCTCAAAAATTCTTCAAATTATTTGCAGAATTATATTATTGTAATTTTACCTTGCAGGCCACTAAACTCTCCTTCACATTGGATAACTTTATCCTTGAACGATTCAATCTAGAAACAAAATCAATCAATTAAAACGTAATTTTAAGAGAACCTTAAGAATTTTAATACTCTGGGGAAAAAGGAGAAATATTGGCCAAAAACGGGCCTCTTTCACAAGTTTTCCTAGATTTAGTGAATAAAACCCTTAAAAACATACCTCTAACAAAGGGGAAAGAAAATTATTTTCAAAGAGGAGGGGGGGGGGGGAAAAGAAAATAAAAATACCAGGGTTTACCCCCCCCCCCCCTCTCCTCTACTACCTGGTGGATACAGTGGTGTAGGTTGACATAACAGCTGCAAGGTCAGCTTGCCTTTCTCCGACCATACTGTCCAACCTAAATAAAACACTTCAAACTAGAGAAAATTGAAGTTCAGATTTATATCATGGGGGGGGGGGACTTTCCCAGATCCCCCCCCCGTCCAACCTAAATATTACACGTAAAAACTAACGTTAATGAATTGAAGTTAAGATTGCAATCTAACATGTTTTCAATCGCTGTGTAAATAATATTAAAACTAGTTTAGCATAAAGGAACTGTGTATAAATAATATTAAGATGTTTTGAAGCTCAAAGCTCGAGGAGCTACGAGCTCAGAAATTCGTACCAGTAAAGTCGCATAAATTTGACCCGTCTTCTGTCCAGTTTGCAGTGAATATTCAAGAATAAGTAAATCTGACAACAAATCCAGAAAGGGGGGGGAGCATGGGAGGCTGATTTTCAAACCAATTAGTAAAAAAAACAGCAATCATGCAATTGGTACAATTGAATTTAATTCCATGAAAATAATCTATTTTCAGAGACTTAAGCATTGAGTTCAACTTGTTGCAGACCTTTAAAACATGATTTGGCGGGAAATGATACTAAAAAAGTGCAATTTAATGTGATTTTTTTTTAGGGTCAATTGGAATTCGAATTTGACCTAACCCTTCTATACAACTAGCTTAATTATTAGTGACCTGGTATCTGATTCTTTAAATTGTAATTCTAGTTTCTTTTTCTCTTCCTCTCTTTCCTGAACAAAAATTCATTAAAAATATTTATATATAATATGTTTATAGTATACATAAATTTTATATAAATAACATACATTTTATAAAATATAAATTATTGATTCAAATAATTTATTTTATAATAGTATAAATTAAGATATTTTGAAAGATGGTTTGTATATCTTTAGGTTGGGATATTATTTTAACCTTTTTAACCTAGGGGAATTGAACTTCTGGTGAAAATTTTGAGGGGGGGGGGTACATGGTAATAATAATAAGATGGAAATGTTAAATTCTAGCTTTGTGGGGGGGGGGGGGCCCTTTCTCAGTCCCCCCACCCCCATTTGTACAACAATGGTTTTAACAATCTCTGTTACCTGTCCTGTATCTGTTTCATGCAAGGTTCGTATTACAGACATGAGAAGCCCTGAGGCTTCGCGTTCCAACATCTTCGTAAATTCTGTAAATATATAATGATGTAGAATTTGATATGGCAATGTACAACAAAACAAACCCAACCGTAATAAAGGTCAGAGGGGGAGGGGTAGCTTATTTATAACTTGACCGAAAGAGTACTCAGAGACTGGAGTTTTGAGTGGACCTGATCAGTATCCTGTAAAGATGGGGTCTCAATCTAGAGAAAGGGAGCGACCGCAAGAAAAAGGAAGTATATCCTCGACCGGAAAACTAGTGACCGGAGATAAACCCATCTATGGTGAGAGAGGGGGGGAGGGGTGGTTAAAACCTCATTTAGCAATCGACCAAAACCTGAAAAATCGACCGTATGCAAAGTTTAGAACTTATGTTAATTTAGACAAATATGATAAAAATTTGTGTATCCACACTTTAAACACCCCACTCTGTCAAATTTACCCCCATCCTCCCTCCCTCCCATCTCATTAAAAATATCCTGCATATACTACACTCCTAAAATAGAAAATTAATTCTATATGATAATGATATGATAACATTAAAATGTTCGATATATAAATCCACGTATCTGACATTATATTTATTAAATGTTTATTATAATTTACGATAATATTTCTATGCCGTTTAAGGACTGGCATCTTTAATCTATCACATTAAAAATATAGAAGAGGAGTCAATGAATTTCCCAAATATTTTGTTGACAAATCAACTACCTGCTTTCAAAGATATTTCTTTTTCGGCTCTCCTTTATGGATAAAAAAAAATATATTACTTTTTTATTAGTTTTCAAAATTAGGCATTAAAAACTTTTTAGTCTCAAAATTAATAATTTTTATATTTGTTTTATAATTTTATTATAAAAAATACAACATTTTTTAGTTAATTTTAACTTGTTTTCACAACAGTTATAATTTGAGTTGGCCTCTATAACATAGATCCGCTAAGAAACCAACGCGGCAAATACACCAATGCCCGGTTCATAGAACAAGCTGTAACTTGCTGTAACTACGACTATGATTTCCAGACATAGCTCTGAGCTCTGATCTCAAAATTGGATCACACCTCGTTCATTAGTCTCAAGTCATAGCATTTGATAGCTGTGACTTCGAGTCGCAGCTAAGCTGTAATCCAAGCTGCGAAGTCATAGCAATTTGACAGCTTAAATTGAAATCTTACTCGGCATTTGCACAAAAAGCGATCTCTTTAATAAAGTCGTCTTTTAAAAAAGGACAAAATTTTACCAAAAAAATTTGTATTACAAAATTTCAAGATACTAAATTCTGAAAATTTCATCATATTTTGTTGACAAATTTGTCTAAACAAAGAGTAAAGTTTTTTAGTTTTATGTAGATGAATATGCAATTTTCATATTTATTTATTTATAAAAATGCATCCTCCCCCTTGGACCCAACGCCCCCCTCCCTTTCATTTCTTCAAATACCAAAATTTTTTTTGAAAAATCAAATTTTCGAATTTATTTTTAATCATTTGTTTATGAACAATTTACATTTTAATTGCAATATAAATTTGATCAATTATCTTTTCATTTTGTAAACAAAATTAACTATTCTTTTTTTGATAAACTAAAANGGTTCAATATTTCTTAAAATTGTACATTAGGAAATACCCGTTTTTTTAAATGTCAGGGGGTTTTTTCACTGTTACACACAATAGGGTCTCTTGCAGATTTCACTTCCTTATGATTCCTTACGTCCTAAATATTCCAATTTAGAGCAATATTTAGTTAAACAAGTTAATAACGTAATTATTTTAGAGTCTAGTCCGAGTGGTTTACAAAAGAAAGAAGATATTCAGGTGCGTTTCGTTCGTTCAGATCTAATAAAATCTATCCCAAAAGAAGAATAAATTGTCGATCCGAATTGTTGGCGTTGGTCGTGTCTTGATTTTACTGTACTGAGACCAACCATATTTTAAATACTGAAAAAAATGCAATTTTTTAAGCCTATGTACTCCCACCGAAAAGTTTCTTTAAAAAAAAATCAGCCAATTTGGCCAGCTATTGCTTTCATATGAATATATATATATTTGTATATTCATATGAAAGCAATATGTATATGAGCGAAGAGCTTTATTATATAGATTAGGGATTCAAGCCCCCCCCCCCCTCCCCCTGTGTACGCCACTGTCCCTTATTCATATGATACTGTACTGTAGATGTGTGTACAGAGTTTGCAGGATTTGTGTGTCCAAGAAAATATCCTTTTCTCAAAAGAAGAATTTATTCAACTCACAAATCTCAGGAAAATAGTTAAATTACAAATCTTTAAAAAAATGTTTTGTCCCTTATTAATATCTATTAATATCTCGTGCGAAAACTTTAATAAAGGGCCACCCAAAAGGATGAGACTGTAAAGACGACTCAAAACTCTTTAAAATATGACGATTACAAGCTTAATTTTTAATTCATTCAATCGAGTATTATAGTATGATTTTACTAAATGAAGCACAGAAATAAGCCAGTTTTAGCCTAGGAAATCTGAATGTATGAAAACAGAATAAATTCCGTACAATCGTCTTCGAAGTCGCATCCTTTGTGGGTAACCCTGTCACATGATTTAATTAATTAATTTGACGATATAGACCTAAAACTGCGGTGGAAATACAATTATTAATTGACAACAGGCAAGTATACTGTATAAACCCTCTACTTATATCACTTCTACATAAACCCTCACTTCATCTCTTTATATTATTTCTATTTACCCCCCGGGCCCCCTCATTCCCATTTCATTTGGATTCTGTAAATAATGGCGTCCAGTTTGTTCCCATTAGCTGTGATTTAGCTGTGAAGTCGGAGCTAAATCCTAGCTGAGGTATGATTTGGATCAGCTGAAATTTTGCTACGATTTGAAGTCACACCTAAGGTCTGATCTAGGTGCGTTCATTGACTAGAAAACTCAGACAGCTTTAACTAGCTACAGCTCAGCTGTCAAGTCATAGCTACAGCTCGATCTATGAACCGGGCTCAAGCAAATACAAGTTGAAATTGAAAATCCGCGTAACCGACAACCGCTGTGTTTTTAAAATGGAAATAGTAGATGAAAACTCTGTGATATTATCAAATTTTGAAGTGCTCTCCTTCCTGCAAGATGAACGGAATGAAATTTCCAAAAATCCAAAAAAGAAGAAAAATAAAGACAAACTTTTAACTCTTATCTTAGAAACGATGAAGTATTTAGGTAAAATTAGTTCCTTAACCTAATGGCTTTTTTACCTATATCCAAAAATATACGATATTCAACTTTTGGAATTTGGTATATTCCTAGAGAACGATTTTTGGACCCCCCGCCCCTCCTTTCAATTTTGTACATGGGTCATCTGACAGGAAGTTTCTTAACTCAACCTAACCCGTGGCCGCAGCGCTCGGCTTCCTAGCCTGTCCTATCCGTAGCACTCGGCCCAGAAAGTGTACTAATTTAATTGAAAATTGTTGAAAAAGTGCTCATGAACAAAATTGATAGAAGGGGAGGTGGGGGGGTCCAAAAATCGTTCTCTAGGACGGACCCATTTTTTTCTAGGCGGGTTATGCCTTCGTTGTATCTATACATGATGAAATATCTATACTTAGGAATGTTAAACCAATGAAAAAGTTTCAATGGGCCTATTCTATCGATAATATATTGATAATAATTTTAAAAATAGTATCGAAAATAATACTAATAATAATGTCAACAGTAATTTTACTTCACAAGTTCACTCGAATGAGTTCACTTTCATTGGGTATATATCTCAGTAACATACTGTGATTGCTTTAGATTGTATTCTAGTTAAAATAAACTGCAAGCTGCACTGCGCCGCTCAGTTCTAGAACTAGCTTCATGAAATATGAACAGGACTGAGCTGAGTCGTCTACCCTCTACAGCTACTGTAACTATCTATTCTAGACCAATAGTCAAGACCAGTTTTGGTCCACCCGGCCAGTACTGAGTACGGACCGGTCCGACGTATACTTAACCTACTGGACTGGGTCGATTTACCGTACCGTCCTGAACATAACAAAGAGTAAATTTCCATTCATCGTACCTTCCCGGTTTATTCTGGCTTTCAGTGCTAGCTGTCTGCAGCTTGAAACTTGCAAGAGATACAAGAGCCGAGACGTACTGGCAAGATCTTACAAATATTTGTAAGGAAAATACTAGGTGTCCCACATCAAATTAGACCGCGTCAATGGGTCTAAATTACAATTTGTGGGATAAATCAGAAAATTTAAGAAGAATGAATCATTTTAAAAAATTTATTTAGGCTAATAGAATTTTTTTTTTGCAGAAAATGCTAGATTTTTTGAGTATTAGTGCGTATTTTGGCGTTAAGATTGGAGATAATCTAATATGATATGGGACGCTCTGTAGCTCAGATCTTAATTAGTTAATTAGTTTAAGCTATTTTTTTCTTTTGGAGGGGGGCTGAAAACATGAACCACTTAATATGTGTAAGTAAATTATTGCTTGAATAAAGGCTTTGTCTAAAATTTATTCTGAATGAGTTTAAATCTGCAAAATTCTACTCATTCATAGCTGATGAAGCAACAGCTTATACAAACAATATATATCTTTCATTCTGCAGTCGTTATGAAAACGTAAATGTAGGTTATTGCAACTGTAAATTATGTAAATTATGAGGCATTTATATGGGACAGCATATTTTTTATATTACTTCTAATACGCCTTTCTCTAAATTTTATATATATTGTACAGTGAGGAAAGGTTAACTGAAGACCAAGTGGAGAAAATTCTAGAAATTATCAGGAAAACTAGATTTAGCTAAAAAGCACGAAAAATTTGGCGTTTATGCGCAACTATTTTTTTATTGCATTTATAACATTGCATGTCCAATAATTAGGGTTTTATTACTCAATTCCAGTCAAATTTGGGGAATGTAATAAACAGATGTTTGAAATATAATTTATTGTTTTTTTTTTCAAAGATTTAAAATGATCGGCGAAGCTCTTTAAAATATAAACCAAAACGAAACACATTTTAAAATATACAAAATGTAAGCTTCGCACCCATCTTCTACTTTAAAATATAAGAAAATTAAAGTAGAGCATAAGAAGTAAACACATAATCTTGAATTCATTGTTATGTATTTACATGAATTTCAGGGAGAGATTGAATATTATTTTTTTATTTCTGAATTTTGATTTTGACAAATAAATTTTTAAAAAAATCCAAATTCAAAATATTCCCCTGTTATCTTATTATCTTGTTACTGCTAGCACTACTCTCCCCGGACTAGAAGAAGAAGAGGAAGAAGAAGGTGCAGCAGAGGGGGAAGGAGAACAAGAACCAGAAGAAGAATCATGATAATTAAATTTTTATATTATTTTCAGATAAAAAACTTGGAAAAATGGGACACACTGACGATTCTGATGATTCATCTTATAGACGATCGAAAAAAAAGAAGTTCAAAAGGTATTTTATAATTTATAATTATGGCTCTAAAAAATGGTAAATAGATAATTTTCAAGAAACAAAAATATTTTAATGGGCTTGTTAAAGTTTGGAACAAAGTCCAGGTATTGCATATTTTTAAGGAAACAACTCATTCTATTCAGATCGAGATCAAAATCCCGGGAGAAAAAACGTAGATCAAGATCAAGATCAAGAAACAGAACCAGGCGATCAAGATCTCGGGACAAGAGATCAAGATCAAGGGATAGAAAATCTAGAGATAAGAGATCAAGATCTAAGGATCGGAGATCAAGAGAAAAGAAAAAGTCATCGAGGTAACAATTTTATAATTTAAAGGGACTGTTATCAAAATTTCATAATTCTGATAATTTAAAGAGAAAGTTCCCAAAATTATGAATCTCTTTTATTTCAAAAGTTTTAGCTAAATATTGCGAACGCATGCTGGCCCTGTTTAAAAGGAAGATCATTCAAAATATCTCTTCCTCTTTACTATGGAACATCCATCTGTCATGTCTTAAAAATTAATCTTAACGTAAAAATTAACGTGCCACATTTTTCAGTTCGGCTTTTCACAAATAACTCTTAGGCTAATGTTGTTCTCTATGATGTCAGTTATCACAAGAATTTTCTTGAATTTATCATGTCAAATATCATTATCTTCGTTATTGTCTAAAAAGATTAAATTCATTGGAATTTTTTTAAACTTTCAAAAATTAATTGAGTTAGACAAAAAACACGTCAAAATGCAAGTTTTAAAGAAAAATACATTTTTTGGAGTTTTTGAAGTTTAATTGAAGAAAATGATATATGACACGATAAATTCAAGAAATATTTTTTTAGCTATGTAGACTTTTTTGCGATCTGGACGGGCCTTGCACGACCACTTCCCATAGGTTTAAAAAAAATGTATCCTGTGTAAACTGACACCATAGAGAACAATATTAGGTTGAGAGTTATTTGTGAGACAATATTTCTATATTTTGTTGCAAAATGGGGCACTCTAGTCAAAATGGATGGTTTATCAACAGTGCCTAGAATGCGGTTCAATATTTAAGAGAAACTAATGACTATTCACTATTTGCAAGTAATGGACGCTTTATCAACAGTGGTGCCTAGAATGCGGTTCAATATTTAAGAGAAACTAATGACTATTCACTATTTGCAAGTAATCTATCAAATGACGGGAAAAGTAAATTAAATACAGTCTTGATGGGAAAATTCGAGAAAATTGGACATACAAATTTTTTAATTAACCCTTTTATATACTTTTTGTTTTCCCCTATAAAGCATTCATTTTACCCAAGTCAGTGAATAAAATAATATTTTTTAGGGGCTAATAGTTTTTAAGAAAATAAAAATAATTTTGTTAAATGACGGGAAAATAATTAAATTCAGTTTTGATGGAAAAATACGAGATTTTAATGTTAATGAATTGATTAAGAAATTGATTCATTAATTAACTAATTCATTAATTAATTGATTCTTTAAATAATTGATTCATTAATTAATTAATTCATTTATACATTAATTCATCAATTCATCAATTCATCAATTCATCAATTCATCAATTTTCTTAAAAATATTTGTTTATTTTAGACATTCTCGGAGCCGGAGCAACTCGCGATCTCGCAAACGCTCAAGATCTCGTCGGAGGTCAACCTCGCGCTCCCGACAGTCTCCCGTGAGATCTCGGAGGTCAAGGTCCCGAGGTCGGAGGTCAAAATCTAGATCTCCTTCAAAACCTAAAGCTTACAAATCCAGGTACACGCAGATAGAGAAAACAGGTTTACCCGCAAAGGATGAGACTTCAGAGACGACTGTACGGAATTTATACTGTTTCCTTATATTCATGATTCGCTGCGACTGTAAACTTGTTTCTTTCTTTGCAAAATCAATTAATAAGCCATTAAAAAACTACATGAAAGGCAGACGACTTAATTTTATCTTGGAATTGTCCTTTTTGAAGAGTTTCAAGTCGTATTTGCAGTCTCGTCATTTTGGGGTAGTTCTGTAGAGTATAACCTCTTTCTCTACAAGTAAAAAAATATTACTGCTATGTTTTTGATCAATTCATTGTCTTATGATAGATTAGTAGATATTTAATATTTTTTTTATTTTTCATGGAAGATTCAATATATTTTACAATGTACTTTTAGACTTCCATCAATCTATTGATAGGATGTTTAAAAAATATATATTATATATACATATGTTCATAAAAAGTTTTAGATGTTTATTAATTCATTTTTTATTTTTAGAATGTTTTATTATTAATTGATTTGTAATAATAATTATAAATAATTATATGATAAATATTTATGATTAGTTCAGGGAATTTAAAACAAATTAATGCATTATTTTTAATAAATTTGAATAATATTTATTGATTAAATTGATTAATATGTTTTTTAGAACACCCAGTAGTTCTCCAGACGCTAGAAAACAAGAATTAAATCTCACAATAGGTATTATTTTAATAATTAACCTTTTCTACTTTCCTCAAACTAATGACCCCCCCCCCCCCCGACTCAAAAAAAAATCTGGTGTGGATTTCTGAGGGAAAAATTTGGGGGGGGGGAGGTGTGGGGAACGAAAAAATATGGCCGGACGGTTTTTAAGCATTCATAAATGATTTTTCTTTTAAGATATATTTATTTCCTACATCCCCCTCTCCAAAAAAATATTTATCTTTATAATAGAAACCCGTTAAAAAAGATATTGTGTTTTATAGATTGCTGTCTATTTACATTTTTTTCGTTGACACTTATTTTTATCTTTATTATTCAAAAGTTTTCTCTGATTTTATTAGAGCTTCGACCTTTGAGGCTGGAACTTAGTTTTACAACGCCGGACCTGGAAACTTTTTATTTGAAGAGATTAAAGATTTAATACATGAATCTGTGATCCCTTTAAAACTTAATTTTCTTGCAGACTGAGGAGTCGAACTTCTTATTAGTCGACTATTAACATTTTAATCTGTCGGACCATAAAATGCGGAGATTAGTGCATTCTTAGGGGATTAAAAAATACTTAACTTCATGTTCTCTTAAACTGATGGAACCCTTTATCTAGCCGAGGAGTTGAAGAGACAGAAACAGATTGAAGAAATAGATTCGGATAGTTTTGTGCAAGCTTCCTTCAGGTAAACAATGTGATTAGGATCCGGAGCTAAATTCGCAACAGTTTAACTCTCTGGATCCGGATCCACAAAGAAATGCGGATTCACGGACCCGGATCCACCAAGATATGCGGATTCATGGATCCGGATCCAAGTGGCAAAATTTAACCAAGACATATGAAAAAGACATTTTTATTTTCAATCCATGAGATATCATTAAAACCTTTATAGTCATTGTATGGTAACAAGTTATTGATTAAACAAACAAACAATTTTTTGGGGAAATTTGTAGTTTTGTACTTTTTCTCTCAATTTTAATGGACGCCGGTGTGAATATGACATGCCACTCTAAAAAATTAGGATTACTTGAAAATACGTTTACAGTCCCTTTACATTTGTTTAATTTCTAGAACGGAAGTGAACTATACAGGACGGGGGGTGAGGGAGGAAGTAGATGAAGGAGAATTCAAGTTTGGTACTTCAGCAGAGATCAATAACAAGCAGGAAATAAAGGTTCGTTGATTGATTTATTGTTTAATTGATTGATTGAATAATTGATGTAAAATCCAAAGGTGCAATTGATAGATTTTATTTATATACTCATTGAATATTCTATTCGTTGATTCACTGATTGATTAATGGATTCATTATAAATTCATAGATTCATTTATTCATTCACTGCTAAGCTCTTTCATTCATAGATTAATTCTTTCATTCATTGATTTAGTTACTTTGGGTTCCCTTTCATATTTACACTTGATTTGATTTTAGTCATTCATTCATTGATTTGTTCCTTCATTCATTCATTCATTGATTTAATCCTTTATTCATTTATTTAATCCTTTATTCATTTATTTAATCCTTCATTCATTGATTTAATCCTTCATTCATTTATTTAATCCTTCATTCATTGATTTTATTCTATTTTCATTGATTTTATCCTTTATTCATTGATTTTATCCTTTATTCATTGATTTTATCCTTTGTTAATTGATTTAATCCTTTATTCATTGATTTAATCCTTTATTCATCGATTTAATCCTTTGTTCATTCATTTACTCATAGTTTTATTTATTTTTATATTTATTTATTCATAGATTTATTTACTCATATATTGATAAATATTGTTCACTCATAGAAATTCAGTAATTCATTAACTCTTTCATTCCTAAATTTATTTATTTATTTATTCATTAATTGATTTTTTTCCTATTATTCTATGTAGGCTAAATTAGAGCAGCTGAATTCTGAAGGATTGCTGAATCCTGAATTATTTGGAAACCAGGGATGGATATTTTAATCAGTAACATATTAATATTATAATACAAGTATTTATTTATATTTAAAAAACTAACTTCCCTCTAGTTCCCATGTCTCCCTCCTTCTTGTTGAGCTGGGTTTTTCTAATTTTAGAAACACCCTCCCCCCCCCCTCTTTTCAATTAGATGTTTTAATCTAGTTCTATTTCTATTTCTTGTGTAGAATCCTAAATTTTATACTTCAGGTTTGATTTAGTAAACAGTAAGAAGAAATAAGTAAGATAGTTGAACTACTAGTCTTGTGTTCTAGGAAATTGGTTCAACTAGCAACACTAAGTTCAGCTACTTTTTACTGTTCATTAAGTTCGACCTCTAAAGTGGTTTAGTAATTGCTAAGTAACTTAAGGGTTATTATTGACAAATTTTACTCATTTAGATTTATAATCGTGATGCTTCAAAATGTGTCAAAATATGTTAGATCTAAGTTAAATTTATAAGTTATTAACGGTTTTGAAATTCATAATAATTCTGTACATATTGTTATTAAATTGGTGAGGGTAAGACGTAGGTGGACTCTAGTTCTATTATATGGTGAACTCCTTGAACTCATAGAGCATGATATCCTTCGCTAGGACTTTGACTCCGCCCTGAAGAAGGACCTGGAGGAGATCGAGGACGAGGACCCTGTTGAGGCGGAGAGGCGTCGAAAGGAGGCGGAGGAAGAACGGAAACGGAAGTTGATCACTGAGATTGCAATCAATTGGGAGGCGAGTAGAGAGGAGAGTGAGAGAAAACATAAAGCACTTGCCTTGCTCATCGAAGCTAAAGAAGAGGAGAAGATTATGAAACTGGAGTTGGCACAAAAACGGTGGGGGAAGAAGGAAGGAGAGGGGAAGAAAGAAGGAGAGGGAGAAGGGGAGAAGGAGGAGAATACCTGGAAGCAAAGATGGTTCCAGGACTACAAGACTAAACAGGTTTACACCAGCAGTAAGATCCTCAGTAAGACCAAGCAGAAGATGAAGTTGCTGGAGAAGGAACGGAAACGAGAAGAGGAGGCGGATGCGGAGGAAGAAGAAAAGAAAGAAGCGGCTGAGGCGGCGGAACCTCAAGGGGTTATTGGAAGTATACAGGAATACGCTAGTCTGGTCGGCAAATCCGTGAAACAATTGGCGGAGGCTAAATATGATCTGCCGGAGGTTTCCGATAGCGAGTCAGAGGACAGTGGAGGAGATGAAGACGGAAATTTATGGGGAACCATTCTGGGGGGCGGAGATTGATGGCAATCACATGGGTGCAGAAGATAGAAATGACCGGCCGCAAGGTCGTAAAAAAGATAACTATTACAAACTGATCAAATATCCTATTGTTACTGCAGGAGCTTCGAGAACAGCGTTATCTCAGTCATTTGTTTCAGCTGAGACAAGAAGCTCTGAAATCCAATTCTGTTCATTAATCCGCTAAAAATCTTGATTAATTGATTGACGGAAAACCTGTTTTCAGATTAGAAAATGCGAGAAGATGGTGTTTACCATCCGTTCCCACGCCTAGCCCTCGGCACTGTTGCTCTGCCCTTCTTTGCATTCCTGTCCTGTATCTTCTGGTCCCTCTTCTTCGACTTTGAGAACACAACCTCAACACATTGCGAGGTCAAGAATACGTCGCTATGAAAACTTTGATCTTCTCGTTTATAGTTTTAGTTTGAATCTTCTCTTTAAAAAAGAAATGGACATTCGTTATAAAAATATGAGACTGAGGAGGGAAATAATTATTAACGCATTACTTTTTCCCTTATTTGACTATATTCGAGAGAAAAAAATTAGATGGATAATAGTTTTTTGTAATAGTGCCATGGTTTAGCTTAGCACATGGTAAAATTATCATTAAAAATCCCTCTCATACTTTTACTTTCCTCTAAGGGCAAGTCGATGTAATTTTGAGAAAAGCAAGTTCAATCCACTAATCATCTTAAGGCATGTTTAATTCTGATATTTTCCTTTATTGCGTCTGTATTACAAATCCGCAGGTCACTTTTATAGGAAACGTACAGGAAAAAATAATCAATTCTCCGAGAGGAAAAGAAGGTTATCTCATTCATCTTTGCTCGGACAAAGATTTAAAGTGTTTCGATGTTAATCGTACATTCCAGTTTATAGATGGAGGATCACTTGAAGTAACTCCTACAGCTCGCAGTGGGCTTGAGGGACCTCTAAGAGATAGGAAAAATATCATGTAACTTTTTTCTATGTTAATAGCTGAAAAATAAATAAATAAATCCATACTTTGCCAATATGCGAATCGCGGGAAAATTCGCCCTAGGAGAAACTGCGGACATATCGCAGATTGTTCGTCTTAATGAGCTCTTTCGGAATCTTAGAAAAAGTTACATGGATTTTTCTTATCTCTTATAAGTCGCTCAAGCACACTGTGAGTTCCTTTAAAGTAAGGTAATTCAGAAATATTAGTTTATTTTTTTATTTTTAACTGGTTTAGGTGGCGGAGTTTGCGCCCTCAATATCAGCAGTAATTGGGAGTGATGTTCCTCAAAAATATGTAAGTTTTGTTCCGGCAAACACAATTGATTATTTTCTTTGAAAAGTTCCGTTAAAGACGTTTAAATAGTTCCATTTAAGACAGTTAAATAGTTTACATTAAACACGGTTAAATAGTTACATTAAACACAGTTAAATACTTACATTAAACACAGTTAAATAGTTACATTAAACACAGTTAAATAGTTACATTAAACACAGTTAAATACTTACATTAAACACAGCTAAATAGTTACATTAAACACAGTTAAATAGTTACATTAAACACAGTTAAATAGTTACATTAAACACAGTTAAATACTTACATTAAACACGGTTAAATAGTTACATTAAAAACAGTTAAATACTTACATTAAACACAGTTAAATACTTACATTAAACACAGTTAAATAGTTACATTTAAGACAGTTAAATAGTTCCATTTAAGACAGTAAATAGTTACATTAAACACAGTTAAATAGTTCCATTTTAGACAGTTAAATAGTTACATTAAACACAGTTAAATAGTTAAGACAGTTAAATAGTTCCATTTAAGACAGTAAATAGTTACATTAAACACAGCTAAATAGTTCCATTAGACACAGTTAGATAGTTACTTTAAACACAGTTAAATAGTTACATTAAACACAGCTAAATAATTACATTAAACACAGCTAAATAGTTACATTATACACAGTTAAATAGTTACATTAAATACAGTTAAATAATTACATTAAACACAGTTAAATAGTTACATTAAACACAGTTAAATAGTTACATTAAACACAGTTTAATAGTTACATTAAACACAGTTAAATAGTTACATTAAACACAGTTAAATAGTTACATTAAACACAGTTAAATAGTTTACATTAAACACAGTTTAATAGTTACATTAAACACAGTTAAATAGTTACATTAAAAACAGTTAAATAGTTACATTACACAGTTAAATAGTTACATTAAACACAGTTAGATAGTTACATTAAACACAGTTTAATAGTTACATTACACAGTTAAATAGTTACATTAAACACAGTTAGATAGTTACATTAAACACAGTTAAATAGTTACATTAGACACAGTTAAATAGTTACATTTAAGACAGATAAATAGTTACATTTAGGACGAATAAATATTTACATTTAACATAGTTAAATAGTTCCGTTGAACACTGGTAAATAGTAACATAACTGTAAACATTAATAAATTGTTATAGTTATACTCATTTGAACCGATTTAACCGTGCTTCTGTCAATTACGAAAATGCCTGCACTACGTAAGAACAAATTATACTTATATTTTTTCATGTCTTTAAAACATACGTTTAAACTTTGCTCATTTATTTTATTTTGTTTAGATTTGGAATATATGTGTAGCTATTCATGCAGCCCCTAGATTTCTTTTCTCTACAATGTACAGAAATTTTTACAAGGTAACTTTGTAGTTTCCAAAGCTTTTTTATTTCTAAAGGGACTGTAAGCGTAATTTTAAGTGACCCTCCATGCAAAAATAGCAATGCCCGATTTTTTTCGGCACCCTTAAAACCATAACTTGATCAAAAATGTGAAAGATAATGTCGTTTTTCTGGTTTGGAAAGTGTTTATTTCTGTAAATTTCTACGTTGTTTTTATAAGCAAATAATGCGCCACTCACCCTTGCAGAGAAACCACAAGTTTGAACAGACAGTAAATTTAAATAAACAAAAACATTGATATCTAATTCATACCATTTAAAATCGGGCATATCTTTGCATGGAGGGTCACTAAAAATTACTCTTAAAATTACTCTTAAAGTCCCTTTAAAAGTAATGAAAATAACAACAAACAAAAACTGTTTAATAGAAAAATGATAAGTAATGTGAATGGGTTAGCTGGTCTTCTAAAAGAAAAATAAATTTCAACGAACGTTTAAAAATACCCTTTATTTATCGTTAATGGTGATTTATCTCGGCCATTTTATTGATGAAACCCACCAGATGTGTTAATTATAATAAGTCAATAAGATGCGTGTCCTTGATAAATGTTCAAAGTTACTTATTATATGAATTTTGTTAATGGCACAGTTGAGGGTCCCGTAAAATTGCTTTGATATTCCCTTTAACATAATATTATGTTGATATTCCCTTTAACATAATATTATGTTGATATTCCCTTTAAGATAATATCATGTTGATATTCCCTTTAACATAATATTATGTTGATATCCCCTTTAACATAATATTATGTTGACATTCCCTTTAAGATAATATTATGTTGTTATTCCCTTTAAGATAATATAATGTTGTTATTCCCTTTAAGATAATATTATGTTGATTATCACATTGAGATAATACAATGTTGGTATTCCCTTTAACATAATATTATGTTGATATTCCCTTTAAGATAATATAATGTTGATATTTCCTTTATCATGTTGATATTCCCTTCAAGATAATATTATGTTGATATTCCCAGGGTGGCCAAAATGTACGGATTGTACGGATTTTTTTTTTGTAACCCTAAAATTGTACGGATTGTACGGATTTTTATCCTGGAAATACACCGGTTTTTTTTAATTTTCGCTCATTTCAGCAAATTTTTCATGAAAATTAAAAAAAAAAATTCTCGTCAAAATGAGGTTAGTTTAACTTATTTTCTGCATTCTAAATAATATTAGATTGAATGATGTTTCAATTGACAATCAAAATTCATTCATAATTTTCGAGATATGTCCCAGAAGTGTTCATTTGAGAATATGTTCCAGAAGTGTTCATTTGAGAATATGTTTATCTATCTGTCTATCTGTCTAGCTATCTGTCTAGCTATCTGTCTAGCAATCTGTCTAGCAATCTGTCTAGCTATCTGTCTAGCTATCTGTCTATCCATCTGTATATCTATCTGCATGTCAGTTTATCTATCTTTTAATCTATCTGTTTATATATTCTATCTGTATCTCAGTTTATCTATCTATCTGTCTCTATTAGATCTGAGAACATCCTCTCAGGTTTCTTCCGGTTATCTGTAAATCTTTTCATTTTTAGTTTAATATTAACTTTCTTTTAATTGAGTGTGCAACCCCTGTACCACGCTAATTTTAATTATATTAGATCCTAAATCTACACTCCACTTATTCTAATTATAACTTAATCGTTTGTTTGCTAAATGGCCTAATTCACACCGATCTGAACAGTTTTAAAAATTATAATCAACGCTCTTTAGTTCTTTAGTTCTCTAGTTCTCTAGTTCTCTAGTTCTCTGGTTCTCTGATTCTCTGGTTCTCTAGTTCTGTAGTTCTCTATTATCTAGTTCTCTAGTTCTCTGGTTCTTTGGTTCTCTGGTTCTTTGGTTCTCTGGTTCTCTAGTTCTCTAGTTCTCTGGTTCTCTGGTTCTCTGGTTCTCTGGTTCTCTAGTTCTCTAGTTCTCTAGTTCTCTAGTTCTCTAGTTCTCTAGTTCTCTAGTT